TGTCATTAAATTCCAGCCTCAGTTTATTCATTTCAGACATGTAATTCATTCATTACTAAAAATCAATTTCCTTTTCCTGTCTTTCTTTCTGTTGCCCCTCTTCCTTCCTTCACCATTTCTCCCAGCATCCTCCTGTGAGGTCCCGACTGACACGTTCAATCTGCATCTATAACATTATACAGACCAGACTGAGAAGCAATCAGGCTGATGTGTGACTGTGTGTGTGTGGGTGTGGGTGTGTGAGAAAGAGAGATCAGTAGGGATTTCATGATTATGATTGCTGAGGACATGTGCTGCTCAAATTCTTCAATGATTACCTCCAAATGAAACATAAATGCCAAACAAAACAGTAAACCCTTCGAGAGAGAGTGAGAGAGAGAGAGCGAGTGAAAGAGAGCGTTTGTATAGCTATACATTGTGGGGACCAGTTTGAGTTGGGAGTGAAGACATTTTGGAGAGGTTAGGACAGTTTGGCTGGTCCTCACTTTCTGACTCACCTTTAAAGGGCCATTTAGGGTTAAGGTTAGAATTAGGTGTTAGGGTAAGGACGGAGCAAATTCATTACATGAATGTGTCCTCACAAAGATAGCTATAAAATGTGTGTGAGAGAGAGAGAGAAATGACAACATCATACACTCAGAGTCCTGTTTCTTGAAGATATCCAGACTGCAACAACATGAGCAAAATGTGACCAAAAGGGACCTCAAAACAAGGAGCAGATGGAAAAACAACCACAAAAAAAGTGAACGCATGTTTTGTTGTGTGCATGTGTGCGTGTGTTCTTGCGACTTTACATTACACTATGTACACTGACAATCTCAGAAGTACTGAGATTTTTTTTACTTAGCACTAACACAATGTAAAGATATTGTGTTACAAATAAAAGTCCTAGATTTAAAATGTTACTTAAGTAAAAGTAGAAAAGTGTTAGCACCAAAATATACTTCAAATACCAAAAGTATTTATATTGATGCATATTATTGTAATCATTGATGCATTGCTGCTTTTGTCACTGTTGTAGCTGGTAAAGGTGGAGCTATTGTTAACTACCTTATATACTTTGAATTACTTCTGGGTAGCCTGGGTAGGCCACTAGGGATCAATATCAATTTATGATTATACTGTCTATTGTGTAGTTAATTTGATTCAGAAAATTACTAAATGTAAGTAACTAAACTTTTCTAACAAATGTTAATGGAGCAAAAATTACTAATTTTACCTCTAAAATTTTGTGAAGTCAAAGTATGAAGTAGCAGAAAATGAAAATACTTGAATAAAGTACAGATACCACAAAACTGTACTTAAGCACAGTGCTTGAGTAAATGTACTTAGTTACTTTCCACCTCTGCTGAGCCGGTGTGGTGGACTCACTCAGACACTATGTTGTTATCTTCTTTATTCTCATTATATTTAATACATGTTTGGATAATTTTTTTCTTAACACCCCAATAGACACACACACTAACAGTACACACAAACGGACACACACAGTCTTCTTCTCAGAAGCCAAATCAAACCACATAGGAGCTAGTCCAGACAGACAGAGTATGTATTCAGTCTCAGACCTTCAGGCAGTTGGCACATCTCTCCCTTCCCTCTGGTTGTTTCTCATTTTCTTTCTCTTTGTCTCTATTTGATATGTCGACCTACTGTTCTGGCTCCACTTCAAAGATGTGTTGTCACTCTGATCAGAGAGTTGTTCTGCTTTCTCTCAAAGGTGTGATTGATTTATGTGTAACAAATAAAGTCCCTTCGGGTTTAATGCGCAAACCGCATCCATGTACAATATGCGCAGTTGTGTAGTAGCTGAAGCAGATTGCATTATTTCACCTTTTAGTTCCTGAAGATAACATCACCGATGTTAAATGTGATTGATTCGGTAATGTTTTGTGACAAAGCTAACTTCCACACAGTTACACAAACAATACCAGGCTCTTTGAAATTCATCAGATTAATGTGTTTATTTCTTGTAATTAGTATAAAAATGGGACTTGCAGTAAAATAACACCTGACGTATTCGCTCAGTGGCTCCTTGGTGATGTCTGGTCCATATTACATGACTGATTATTCTCGTTGTGAGAAAGAAAAAACAATGTGTGATATGGTGGTTTGCTTTCACTGCTTTGGGCTAAAGCAACAGCTTATAAAGAATGAATGATTATTTCTAGAAAGGTAAAAATAAAACAGCAAAAAAGAAGTTATTTTGTTTTTCCAGAATGTGAAATCTGCCAGATCACTTGCATTTAGGTTAGCACACTTTAGGCTCAAGTTTAACCTGGTAAGTAAGTAACCCTGCAAAATGATGTATTTATGTCAAGCAGCCAAATTCCACCTACTTTCTGAAATTAAATTTTGGATAAATATCTGAAAAAAAACATCAAAATGTTTAATTCTAAAGTCAGACACTTTGAACAATCGGTCAAACTAACACACATTCTCTTCCAGCTTTCACCAGCGACAGATTTATTAAATTTGAAATGTATCTTCTGTAATCGGGGGAAAGGAGGCGGGGGTAATCCCCTCAAGGCTATATCTGAGTAGATGTTGTGTCAGTCGGTCCCTCATCTCCAGCCTTCGTTGGCCCAGAGGAAAACTGGACTCAGAAACACTCATCATGTAAAACATGCATAGCAGTGCGTGTTTGCAGTGCACAGAATGAGAGCCTCTTGTACACCCCTTCTATTTCCTCTCCCGCCTTGGTGTGTTTTCTTCTCTCTGTCCTTTTTCTCTTTTAATTTGGCCCCTCTGTTTGTTTCTCTTCATTCTTTCATTAGTTGAATAAACATAGCAGGCATTCCAGCTGTAATACCACTGAGATTCAGTGTGTGTATGTGTGTGTGCGTGTGTCAGTTATGAACAGAGAGAGAGAGTGGGAGAGAAAAAGATGGCATTACACTAGAGACATTGACTCATAATGATTCATCTTTGTGCTATGTATGCATGTGGACAGACATGTCAGTCACACTGGGGCACTGTGGGAATACTGGAGATTTTTAATGAAGACACTGAGGCTGGCTGAGAGCTGCATTTCTGATTATTTGTTTCTTTCTATCTTGTTCATAACTCCACCCTGGTCTTTTTTGGATGCTTGCTAATTGCACCATAAATGGCGTGCACACTAGATGCTATAGCACCAGATAACATTCACTGGTTCCCTCACATTGCAGTTAAGCTGGCATGTACCTGAAAACAACTTTATAAAAAATAATCATTTAAAATATGCTGAATGTGACTTAATATACATTTTTCTGATATGCAAAAGAAGATAAAAATGTATTTCAGACATTTAGGTTGATGTAGATGTACAGTAAATACCCGCAATTATTGTATCAGCATCTGTTTTTATAATACTTTTTCAGTGTATTTTGTTATTTATTTTGCTTCAAACTGATATTGAAGCATGTACAAGCCAAGTTAATTTTATTTATAAAGCCATAAAAAACATACATTTGCCTCAGAAGTCTTTAGAAATTGTACAGGATACTACACACACAGCACACGAGGCTAATGACAGTCCATTTCATTAGCCATGGACCAAAACAGTATATAAAATCAAATCATAACAGTTAATGCAAAATGAAAACAAAACAAACAAAAAAAAACCTTAAGCTTTCAAAACTCAAACATATTCATATATTTAGCCATACCTCCATCTGTAAATCAACCAAAAGCATACATTTAATTACAGTATGTTAAAAAAGAACCCCAGTTACTGAGAGGAAACTATTTTCCCAACATGCTGTGGTGGTAAAAGTATATTTTTGACTAGATTATGTTCAGAGGTCACGTTTTTTGAATGACTGAAGTGTTACACTCATGAACTGCATTAGAGTTGCCAGGTGGTAGTTGGGATGGATGGTGGATGCACAAAGTGATGTTGCAGACTGAGCTCCTAATCACTGCACCACTGTGAGTATTCAGTCAGAAAGTGTGCCTGATGGTGTGTACAGGCGTTTTCCTGTCAAGGCCAAAAAAACGACAGTAGTCCTTGGTCATAATCCAGGTGCGCTCTGAGCTTTTTGAATACTAAACCTTTTGAATTTATGGCTACTTCTGAAGGAAGTTCAGCCACTGATCCATCAGGATCATACAGGTAAATGCCCCAAATCATTGGCGAGGTTTTGTGTTTGATTCTAGCAGACACACCAACCACCCAGGAACCATCTACCTCCACATCCCAGATATGTTTTCCAGAGCTTAAGCCAACAACAGTAAGGTCACTTCTTCTCTCTAGGTTGTTAAGGAGCTGCAGAACCTTCTCACTAAGCATTGAACAAGTTAAACGGTTTGATAAGATTAATCCACAGCCAGCGTTGTTGGGATCCAGAGTGACAGAGCCTAACTGGGTAAAACAGATACAAAGGTTTATTAAAACTGAAGGTATTATATTGCCTTGGTAAACAGTTTGTTTTTAAGTAAGAAAGTTCATTATTTCATACCAAAATATCATGAAGAAGAATCGACAATACATTGCTTACTGTATTGGATTATATTCTTCATCTTCTTCCAGACTGTGAACAGCAGGTTCCCTAGATGCTCGGCCTCATCGACCAGGGCTCCTGGTGGAGTCTTAGGTTCTGACAGATTACAGTGAGATCTGAAAGAATACAAGACAGCCATAGTGTTTTCCTGCTGCCAGTGATCAATACACATGCCATTAGGAACAGACCTCTGGCACTTGTGTTATTAAGATGATCTTAGCGTTACCACCGGTAACCGCAGCTGTTGTAAAATCAGCCAGAACTGAATTTTTAATTAAAACTTGAAATTTAATGTTAACATTAAGATCACCTAGAAGTCTATGAAAAATGATAATTAAAGGATAAGGCTGACCATTTTCCATATTAATAGTATTGTCAACAATCATAATACAGAGACTAAAACCAGTAGTGGGCTTCCTTTACTCGTGGTTAGCAGGCATTGGTTGGTCTGTCACTTTCCATCCTGAATTATCGTATGTGTCTGTACCATAGACCTACACTGTTGTTCAAAAACCATTAACCCTTCTGCCCTATTCAGGCAAAGATGCACATTTTTGGCACAAATGTGAAAAGAGGGTAGTACATTTAAGTAGGGCACACGGGTTAAAAACACATCAGCAAAACACGTCGCTGCACTGGGGTGACATTTTTTCATTACAAAAGACAAAACCTGCATATTTCTTAAAAATGTTGGCACCAAATAGCTCTTTGCTAAAGGCTGCTAGCTTCTTGTGTTGTGGTTTGTGTCCTGCTTCCTGTTTCCTGTTTTGTGCTTTTATTTTGGTTAGTTTCCTGTCCTATGTCACCTCACCTGCCCCAGCTTCACCCCAGTGCACAATTTCTGTTCATTGCTTCCACCTGCTGCTCGTTACTGCCTGGTCTCCTGTCTTTATAACCTCCTCGCTCATCTGGCTCCTGTGCTCCCATTGAGATTGCTGCACTGGGTTGGGTCCTTTCCATTCTGTTTTGTTTGGACTCTCATAAATTGTGTTGTTCCCGGAGTCTGTCTCTCTGTGTTGCCAAGTGCTTGCGCCACCACCAGGAGATGCAGATCCGGCATTTCATAATGGAAAAACACGTCACTACTGGTTTAGTCTCCCTATGGGGGAGTGTTGACAGCATTTAATATAGAAAATGGCTGACCCAATCTAAGACGATTACTAACGTCATGAATGAGAAGTCCTCCGCTTTTATTTTGACTATCAGGGAATCTATCTCTGATCAAATAAGAAATCTGCATGCTTATTGCCTCACTCTTGAGCGTCTCCTCACTGCTTCTATCCTAGCAGCCTCCTCAGGACCCGGTAAAGCTTCAGAACCTCCTCTGTCTGCTGCCCCTGGAACTGAGGAAACACCTTTGCTGATGGAAAGTAACGACACATATTGCTGGCTGCCTCTAAAACCACTGTCAGACACTTACCTTGCTCTGGCAGGCCATTTTATCACAGCTGAGTTTTTGTGCTTTAAATGCATCAGTTGAACCTTGAGTGTTCTACAAATGAACTTTAACTACAGTCAGCAGTGAATCCTTTACACAGTGTATTTGTCTGTTATATGCAATATAGAAAACATTTATAAACCTTGATTAAATTAAATGATATATATTAGCATTAAGCTAAATACTGTTTTGCTCACCTTATAGTCTTCAGCTGCTTCATTGATGGGGGTGCAGTTGTGCTTTTTATTTTTTTGAATCCCTACAGATCACACGGATGAGCTGCTGGTCATCCTGACAGAAGAGCTTAAATTTCTCACTGAAGGCTGCAAAACTCCTCAGATCTTGACACCACTCTCTGGGTCCTCACTTGTCTCAGGTTGTCAGACAAGTTTCTCAGTGCCAGATTACATGGAGGTACAACCATATGAAAAACATTCTTACAGACAGGTCACGTCTGTAGTGTACTCTGTCTCCACCACTCCTGAAGACAGCCCTTACAGAAGCTGTGACCGCACAACAAGATAACAGGATTCAGAAACGTATCGTAGCACAGAGAAGAGGCATTCCTCTACAGACTGTGATACGCTAGCAGCCATTCTGTCGTTTTCTCCTGTGATCTGCTTTCACTTTCACCGACTCCCTTGTGTTTGCTCAGCCAGAGCGCACATTCAGTACTTTGTTTCAAGTTGGTTACAGCAACACTCAAATCTGTTATAAGAGTGTGATATCTACCAAAAACCACAGACATCAACACTGGGAAATATGTATTTGTACATTGAGTTTCTGTTTTGGCTCATGTCCCCTCTGTTAACACAAAGGCAGGATTGAATTCACAAGGTACCCAGAAGTAATTAAATTATACTTATAAAGTTAACATTAACTCCACCTTTACCAGCTGCAACATGAACTGTGATTAAAACAATAATGCATCAGTAATTATAGTTCTGTTCTGTGCTCTCTAAGATTTGGTCACATTTTAACACACTGTATTTCTTACTTCAGGATCTCATTCTTTGCAGTCTTCTCACGTGTCTGTTTCTCTCATGAGCTATATGTCAGATTCTGAGCAGTGAAAATCACAAGTGATTTGCCCCCTGACTGCTGCAGCAATAGCTGTCAAAGGCTAACTGTTTTAACATGACAGCACACTCCATGTGGCCAGCTAACGTGGCTGCTCTTTACCGTGTTTTTTTTTTTTTTTTTTTTTATACAGGCTAGGAAAAATGAATCTGTCTAGTCTCTCTAAGCTGTTCAGTCTCCTCTGCAAGGGCACAAAGAATTTCATAACTTCCATCATGAGAACAAAAATGTCCCCCAAGATTTAAAACTTGTCATAGTTTAAGCTACATTATTGAAGTTACATCTCTATATAAATAAAAAGCATTACTGTAGAATGATTTTTAAATGTTTCTGCACCAAAAATTAGACACATTTGTGTTCTAAACAGCTAGATATGATGATTTGGTTTGTGTGTGAAAACGCCATTAGCGTTGTGGTGAGTGATGACACAGGCAGCCTATACATATCCCTCACCAGGGAAGCACAACAATGTGAGCTCAATTACATAACTTTGTGATAATGTCTCTCATACTGTAATACAAACTTTTACTGCTTATCTTTCCTAGGCTGGTGTAATTATTAGAGCTTAGGATTGTGGAGTGGTGCTGGATTCTTGTGAGACTGTTGCTATGCTTAAATATTATGTCCATAACCATAAAACATTCAATCTGCATTAGGCCAAGTGTTTTGAACCAGTTTCCCTGGAGTGGTGCACTAAAACCACCCTGAGCTGCCATTAAGGGGAAGGAGCTGGAAAAAATACTGGACAAAAGCTGCAGAACGAGAGCAAGAGCACAGATGATGGTAAACTAATTTTGTTGGCTTGATACACACACACGTGCAGTACGTGTTGTGCTCACATCCACGCTATGTCGAACACACACTGTACGGTATCACACACACAAGCAAGAAATCTCTTAGGACTCTCAAAGTGGAACAATGCGCACACTCTCTCTCGCTCTTTCCATCTTTTCCCTCAACAGATCTCACACGCACTTGATCACAGTCTCACTGAGTAAGATGTGTGCTCTATCATTTGCCTTAAGGGACAAGAGTTGGAACAAATTCAGTGAGACGCTGTAGCATTTCTCTGCAACTCTTGGAGAGAAGTGTTTTATTGGAGCGTGTTACTAGTGTCCAGGCGCACAGCTTTCCTGTCTGTGAAGCAGGAGAAACACTGTGCAAGTCTAAATATGAACTTGATATTCAACATGCTTTCACAGGAAGGGAAGGCACTAGTCATGTTCTTCAATGATAAATAGTTCCAGTTACAGTGGGTACGGAAAGTATTCAGACCCCCTTAAATTTTTCACTCTTTGTTATATTGCAGCCATATGCTAAAATCATTTAAGTTCATTTTTTTCCTCATTAATGTACACACAGCACCC